ACAGATATATAACACTTCTGTAGCATTCTTCATCATAACACAGTAACACCGGTCTTACGGTAAAAACCTAAGTACCAGCGTAGTCCTCCAATATTCTTCGTAATATCCGTAACAGTTAAGGCGATTATTTTCGTAATTCGCTCTCTCATGCATTTACACATCCTCGATACCCCAGGAGTTACGCTCACTTTCAATTTCTGCACCCCTGGACTATTTCATAGCAAAATGGAAGGCTCGGTGTTCACAACCTTTTGGATGAGACGAGAAGATTCGTTTGATCCTTTGATGAACATCAAAAGAATCTCGCTGTTGCGTAACGGTAAAACTTATTTGCTTTGAAGTTGGTTATCGCTCCTTTGTGATCTTCAAAGGGCAAGTATCAGCCAGGTGATTGGTCAGGATACTTTACCTGACACCAATCTAATAGCAAGCCGCGTGCCATCAATTTTGCTACGACATATTCCAGGGGTGCAGAGAGCGAAAGTGAGCGTAATCCCCTGGATATCGAGGATGGGATTTACCAAAAAAATCGTAATGCACTAGGTTTTTTTCTTTCTGGGTTCTATGGTTATGAAATCCTATGCTAGTTATTAGAGAATTACATTTTCACTGGATCTGTATCATGCCAACAATTTTCTCTACCGCCAAAATAAAAGCATCCTCCATCAGGGGTAACGTTCACTTTCGCTCTCTGCACCCCTGGACTATGTTATAGCAAAATTGATGGCACGCGCCTAAGTATTTGATTGGTCTCGGTATAAAAAAAGACCAATCAGCAGGCTGATACCTGTCCTTTGAAGCGACACCCGACTTGAAAGCCAGCCCATTTTTAACGTTACGTGACCGGCAAATTCATTTGATGTACATCAAAGGATCAAACGAGTCTTCTCGTCTCCTTCAATTTTGCTATGACATATTCCAGGGGTGCAGAGAGCGATAGTTATCGAGAGTCGCTCATGGGGTATCGAGGATGAAATAAGAACTGAGCGAAAAAATAAACTGTAGAGTAGAATTGAAAACATTATTGAAAAGATGTCGTTAAAGTGGTAACATGTTTTATTTTCACTATTGTTATTTGTTATGACATAATTGTTGAATCGAATCAGATGAAAAATATTCTCCAATAAAGCCGTGACACTTTTCATTAAACTTCAATGTGCTGACTTTTTTCATGTTATTAACCTAATTATGATGAGAGTTCAATTATTTCCCTTCCGATCGGATCGAAGAATCCTTGAAATTACATGGGTTGATTCTCTTACATTCCCTTCACCCCTAGACTATGTCATAACGAAACCGAAAGCTCTGTAGAATAGTTTTGATCTGTGATGTATATCAAAAGAATCGTTCGGCAGCACAACGGTAAAATTAACCGGTTTTTAAGTCCTCTTTAATCTAAAAGCAGATATCAGCCAGGCTATTGGGCATTTGTTTTACTTGAAGCCAATCAAATAGCTAACAGCGTGTCTTCGATTTTGTCACGACACATACCAGGGGTGTAGAGAACGCAAGTCAGCGTAACCCCTGGAATATTTAAGCAGTCATAGCAAAATATTCTCAATAAATATTATACTGTACTACAAATATTTCCAAATATTGGCACTGTCTCTCAGCAACACCCTTAACTTATTGGGTCCCATCCTTCTGTCCTCGTTAGGGTGGGGTCATGGTTTATACAACATTGAATCAAGTTGGACCAATGATACTCTATATCAAATAAGATTTAGATAAAGCTATAGGATAAAAATCCTTATCTATGGCTCTTGATTATTAAAAACAACCTGTTACGAGATTTTAACACATTTTACCACAGTGACCATGAAAGTCTCACAAAGTCATTCAGTTGAAAATGCTTGGAAGTCCGTTATCCAAAATAGCATCACCCTGTGGTTCTTCGTTATTAAAATACGTTAACACATTAGATCCCTATGACCTTGAAAGTAGGTAAAGGTCATTTTCATTCGCAAACTTTGCTGGGCTTCATCTAAGGAAGCTACTTGTTAAATATCACGACTCCATGTCTTCCACTTCTTCATAAGAAGCAGTTTGCATTTTTTGCCATATTTGACCCCTGTGACCTTGAAAGTAGTTTAAGGTAATTTTCAATCGCAAACTTTGTTTGGCTCCATCAGTGACATTTACCGGTCAAATATTATATGTGTATGCCTTTAGATTATTCAGAAGAAGTCGTTTGAAGTGTGTGACATATTTGACCCCTGTGGCCTTGAAAGTGGATCAATGTAATTTTCATTCTCAAACTTTGTTGGACTCCATCCCAAGAAGCTACCATCAAAATATTAAGATTCTGTTCCTTTTCAGTTCTTCAGAAGAAGTCGTTTGAAGTGTTTGACATTTTGACCCCTGTGACCTTGAAAGAAGGTCAATGCCATTTTCTTTCTCAAACTTTTTCGGGCTCCATCCAAAAAGCTTCCAGCCAGATATTAAGATTGTATATCCCTCAGGTCTTCAGAAGAAGTCGTTTGAAGTGTTTGACATATTTGACCCCTGTGACCTTGAAAGTATGGTGAGGTCATTTTCATTCGTAAAATGTGTTGGGCTCTATACCAAAAGAAGCTACCAGCCAAATATTAAGATTGTATACCCCTCAGCTCTTCAGAAGAAGTCGTTTGAAGTGTTTGACATATTTGACCCCTGTGACCTTGAAAGTAGGTTTAGGTCATTTTCATTCGCAAACTTTGTTGGGCTCCATCCCAAGAAGCTACCAGCTACATATTAAGATTCTATACCTTTCAGTTCTTCAAAAGAAGTCGTTTTAAGTGTTTGACACTTTTGAGCCCTGTGACCTGGAAAGAAGGTCAAGGTAATTTTTGTTTGTCGGGCTCCTACCAACGAAGCTATCAGCCAAATATCATGACTCTAGGCCTGTCCATTCTCAGAAGAAGTCGTTTAAAGTTTTTAAAGTAGACGGACGCCGGACGGACGGACGACAGACGCTACGCCATGACATAAGCTCACTCTCCCTTCGGGCAGGTGACGGTAACATTTGTGACGATGATTGTCTGTTATGTATAAATTATGAGATTATACTAGAATATTTATAAATGTGGACTTCAAAATCAAAATCAATATCTCAAACGAGGGCATTAATCAAAATATCCTACAACCTTTAACATATTTTCGACAATATTCGAAGTCGGGACGTGAAATCTTAATGGGGGTAATTTCGCATGAATTTTTACATATTATTTACATTAATTATAATTTAATGTTTTTTTGACGTCATCAGCTACTAGCTTTGCGTAGTGCCCATCGCGTCTCGTTTTGAATATTCTTTCCATGTGCTTACTGCAACGGCAGCACCAATATGCCAGCCAAGCAGCTTGCTCGCCTACCTCTCCCACCCTCCCAGTAGTATTACTAGGCTGAAGGTTGATAGTTCATGGGAAAACTGTAAGAAATATTGAGTAATTTTAAAAGAGCTGTTAATGTTTTTTTATATAATGATAACGAGTTGACTTAATTAATCTAATTTTTTTCTTTTTTTTCTTTTTTATCTTTTTTTTTTTTTATCTCAGTGTGCATGTAACAATTGATGAAAATTTTTATCGTTTTGGCACTAAATTTTATGAACATTTTTTTTCTAGTAGTGTTTATTTTTATTTCAAGTAAATGATAAGTATTATTATCGAAGTCATCATTTAAAATGAAATTAAATAAGTCATAGGTTCACATATAGATATACAACCCAGTATATATATATATATATTTACCAAACTCCAGGATTGGTCTGCGAAATGGCTTCTCAAATTCCATCCAAACAAATGCAAAGTACTTTCAATTGATACTATATGCTTGGAGCATCGGGAACTAGAGAGCATAACATGTGAAAAAGATATCGGTGTAACTGTGGATGAAGGTCTAAACTTTAGGACACATATTCAATTAAATGTGAAAAAAAAGCTAACAGTATTGTTGGCCTTATTAGAAGAACATTCACTTATCTGGATGAAAATATGTTCAAACTTTTATTTAAGGCGCTTGTTAGACCACACTTAGAATATGCCTCTAGTGTATGGAGTCCATACAGGAACAAGGATATTGGTTTAGTTGAAAACGTCCAGAGACGAGCTACCAAGATCATACCTGGATTTAGTAATTATAAAGCACCGTCGGATGCGAGGAGATCTAATAAACTTTTATGATCCAAGAGTGACTGAAAGCATGTTTCAGTTTGATATTAGTAGTAGAACAAGAGGGCATTCTTACAAACTTTAAAAAACCCACTGTCACCCTGATATAAGGAAAAGTTTCATTACTTTCCGTGTTATTCATATATATGGAACAGTCTTCCAAAGGATGTCATTGATTCATCTCATGTTATACAGTTTGAAATTGGTTTAGATGATTACTGTAAACGTGAAAATATGATTTTTAATTTTTAGTTTTAAAAACTGTTCAATTGACAATTAAAGTATATTATAATATAAATTTTACTGTATGTGCTTATATGGATACAGAGGCGTGTAGCCTGCGTCCATAATGTATCATATTAAATCATATTAATTATATTATATACGTCTCTGGTTGTTATGATTCCTGTTATGCTATTCCTGGCCGGGCATTTTCGATCAACATGTTATATAATGCATGTAAGTATAGTATTGTGTAAATACATGTTTTTTACTTTTTACCTAGATATACCATAAACGCATCAAAAACTTTCTCAATTTTAGATTATTTTTATTGAAAATATTCCAAAATAAGTTTGTACATTATGCTCATGTCATTAGGGCGCAAAATGGAGCAGTTTCGGAACATAGAAGTAATTTCAACTTTCCGTTTAAATTTCTACTTTGCAAAGACTTTAAAGAAACCGTCTTGATACAAAAACTTACTTGTCATGTCAGTTCCGTTCAGTCATTAGAGTACCTGATGTTTTTAGTGTGTCCCTATCTGTCTCGTACGCGCGTTTCCTCTGAGATTTGACAGTTGGCGCGAGATTTGACATACGTCGTGATGTCATGTCGACTGGAAACATTCCTGTGTTGTCGATAACACTTTCTTTGCTCTTTTTGAAGAAGGTAATTTCATGACGTTTCTATTACATATGTCTTCAAATATTGAAACGACGTCAGTAGATCTATAATACACGAAAAACGCACGTGCACTCCAAAAATGAAATGTCCACGGCGACCAGAAAGCTTTACAGGAATCGAAAGAATGTATCGTCGATATACATCAATATTACACCTCTCATGCAATTGCCGTAATTTAATAGTTCAAATAATGTTAATTACTTTTTGAAAATTGTAATTGTAATTATCATAGACACGAACAGGACTAAGCACACATGCCACTGCAAAAAGGGTAACTGGTGCATTTGTTTTATTGACATAACAACCAAATGTCATTGTATCAACCCCACAAATTTCCTTGTGCCGAATTTCAGTTCAAACATTATATACTGTAAATCCTTGTTAAAAATTGTTTTTCAGGTCCGAAAGTCAAATGTCAAGGTCACTATTACTTACAATTAAAACATTGTTTTTCAACTATGACTTAATTCGGTTCACAAAGGTCAATTACACTCAATGTACACACTCAATCTGTCCTAACCACAATTGCTTGCATGGATTTGCATTCAACATACAAAATTCTAAGGTGATTCGTAATAATGTTTGTTCAGGTAAACGGCATTGCAATTACACAAGTGGTACAAACAGACATAAGATATACACAATTTTACAGACTAGATTATATCGCAGTAGGTAGTACTAGTAGTAGCAGAAAGCTAAATGAACAGTTGGCCTTTTTACCTTGGATAACACATAAAAGTTAAAATAGAACTTATTTCCAGTGGGGTCCAGAATACCCCACTGTTACATTACTGTCAATGGAAAATTGGTTTCTTCTCAATTGCACAAATTCTTCTTGGCCAATCAAACCCAAACTTCATAACCTTCTTTCTTACAAGTGGTGGTTTGAGATCAGGTCTAAAGGTCAAAGGTCAAAGATCAGAGGTCAAGGTCACTAGTATTATTATGAATAAAGAAAAATGTTTCTGTACAAATTACCTTGAGTTCATGTGTGCTGATCAAAGTCAGCATGCATTGAAGTGACTTTTGTTGGAAAGTAATTTCCAAGAACAAGGTAAAGTGGAATCAGTGCGTTCTATTTCAACTGTTTAATTTGTATTTGAACCCCTTTTTATCACTGAGATGTGAATTTAGTGTGATGAAATTTAACTATACTACTAATGGAGGAAGTGACTGGCTGACCTCCACTGAGAACTGAACTTTTTTGGTTGCCATGACTCGCCAGTGTTAGTTATGACATAACATTGCAATCCAGGCACAAATCTAGAAATTTTCAAATTATTTTAAATATGGGCAAAGGGAGACAACCCTATACAAAAGTCTTTATTTTTAAAAAGTTAGGTCAAAAAGGAGCACCTTGGCTAGTCAAGTTTTCTCATTTTTTTTACAAGAATGTATTAATCTAGAAATGTTCCAAGTAAGACCCTTCGTTTTACTATGAGTCTAAATGGATACCTATACTGTATACAGGAAAATTACAGCAACCATGTGTAAACAACACAATACACATAGTACTGTAATTAAATGTGAAGGGCAAATTAATATTGGGGTGAAAATGGATGTTACCGTCAAAGGGCGAAAATATCCCTGTATACAGTATTACATGGCATGTTAGTGGTTCACTTGTTTGAAAGGTTAGCATTGTGACCCACAAACCCACTTTGATTCACCAAAACAAAGCCAAGCCCATTTAACAAGGTAACATGTTATAATATTTGTGTAGCGTGATGTTACGATAATAGAAATTTAAAGTTTTCGTCTTTAAGTGATTTATTTGATTTTCAGGAAGTAGCATCAATGAACATTTCCACCAGCTTGCCAGAACCTAACGACGTGTTCTCCACAACAACCTCCAAGGGATGCTACCAACATGGTGAAGAAGACACAGGTAACAAAAAAAAATTGCATCGGATTGACAAAATCTTTTGGTCAGGATTTCGATGGTGACTGATATTACCAATGTGGTATCTACTCAATACAAGTTCCTTGTTGATGTAAAAAAAAGTTGTTTTTTTCTTCTTTTTTTTTACATTTCGATTTTTTTTATTGATTTTCATGTGAACAATTACATTAATTTAAATATACATATTTATTAACATGCCCTCATATACCTCCACCTTCATCGGTGATAATTGTTGATGTAAAGTTGGGTTATTTTGTACTTAGGTTATTTTGTAACAGTGAGGCCCTCTGTAACAGTATATAAGGCCCTCTGTAACAGTAAGGCCCTCTGTAACAATAAGGGCCTCTGTAACAGTATATAATGCCCTCTGTAACAGTATATAAGGTCCTCTGTAACAGTAAGGCCCATTGTAACAGTAAGGCCTTCTGTAACAGTAAGGCCCTCTGTAACTGTATATAAGGCCCTCTGTTACAGTAAATACATATTTATTAACATGCCCTCATACACCTCCACCTTCATCGGTGATAATTGTTGATGTAAAGTTAGGTTATTTTGTACTTAGGTTATTTTGTAACAGTAAGGCCCTCTGCAGTATATAAGGCCCTCTGTAACAGTAAGACCCTCTGTAACAGTAAGGCCCTCTGTAACAGCATATAGGGCCCTCTGAAACAGCAAGGCCCTCTGTAACAGTGTGGCCCTCTGTAACAGTATATAAGTCCCTCTGTAACAGTAAGGCCCCCTGTAACAGTAAGGCCCTCTGTAACTGTATATAAGGCCCTCTGTTACAGTAAATACATATTTATTAACATGCCCTCATATACCTCCGCCTTCATCGGTGATAATTGTTGATGTAAAGTTAGGTTATTTTGTACTTAGGTTATTTTGTAACAGTAAGGCCCTCTGCAGTATATAAGGCCCTCTGTAACAGCAAGGCCCTCTGTAACAGTTTATAAGGCCCTCTGTAACAGTTTATAAGGCCCTCTGTAACAGGAAGGCCCTCTGTAACAGCAAGGCCCTCTGTAACAGTGTGGCCCTCTGTAACAGTATATAAGTTGCTCTGTAACTGTAAGGCCCTCTGTAACAGTGAGGCCCTCTGTAACAGTATATAAAGCCCTCTGTAACAGTAAGGCCCTCTTTAACAGTATATAAGGCCCTCTGTAACAGTCAGGCCCTCTGTAACAGTATATATAACAGTAAGGCCCTCTGTAACAGCAAGGCCCTCTGTAACAGTGTGGCCCTCTGTAACAGTATATAAGCCCCTCTGTAACAGTAAGTCCCTCTGTAACAGTATATAAGTCCCTCTGTAACAGTAAGGTCCTCTGTAACAGTATATAAGTCCCTCTGTAACAGTAAGGCCCGTATATAAGGCCCTCTGTCACAGTAAGGCCCTCTGTAACTGTATATAAGGCCCTCTGTTACAGTAAATACATATTTATTAACATGCCCTCATATACCTCCACCTTCATCGGTGATAATCATATTTATTAACATGCCCTCATATACCTCCACCTTCATCGGTGATAATTGTTGATGTAAAGTTGGGTTATTTTGTACTTAGGTTATTTTGTAACAGTAAGGCCCTCTGTAACTGTATATAAGGCCCTCTGTTACAGTAAATACATATTTATTAACATGCCCTCATACACCTCCACCTTCATCGGTGATAATCATATTTATTAACATGCCCTCATATACCTCCACCTTCATCGGTGATAATTGTTGATGTAAAGTTAGGTTATTTTGTACTTAGGTTATTTTGTAACAGTAAGGCCCTCTGCAGTATATAAGGCCCTCTGTAACAGTAAGGTCCTCTGTAACAGTATATAAGTCCCTCTGTAACAGTAAGGTCCTCTGTAACAGTATATAAGTCCCTCTGTAACAGTATGGCCCTCTGTAACGGTAAGGCCCTCTGTAACGGTAAGGCCCTCTGTAACAGCATATAGGGCCCTCTGAAACAGCAAGGCCCTCTGTAACAGTTTATAAGGCCCTCTGTAACAGTAAGTCCCTCTGTAACAGTATATAAGTCCCTCTGTAACAGTAAGGTCCTCTGTAACAGTATATAAGTCCCTCTGTAACAGTAAGGCCCGTATATAAGGCCCTCTGTCACAGTAAGGCACTGTGTAACAGTATATAAGGCCCTCTGTAGCAGTAAGGCCATCTGTAACAGTATATAAGGCCATCTGTAACAGTCAGGCCCTCTGTAACAGTATATATAACATGAAGGCCCTCTGTAACAGCAAGGCCCTCTGGAACAGTGAGGCCCTCTGTAACAGTATATAAGTCCCTCTGTAACAGTAAGGTCCTCTGTAACAGTATATAAGTCCCTCTGTAACAGTAAGGCCCTCTTTAACAGTATATAAGGCCCTCTGTAGCAGTAAGGCCATCTGTAACAGTATATAAGTTCCTCTGTAACTGTAAGGCCCTCTGTAACAGAAAGGTCCTCTGAAGTTGTTTTTTTCTCTTTTTTTTTTACATTTCATTTTTTTTTATTGATTTTCATGTGAACAATTACATTAATTAAAATATACATATTTATTAACATGCCCTCATACACCTCCACCTTCATCGGTGATAATTGTTGATGTATAGTTAGGTTATTTTGTACTTAGGTTATTTTGTAAGAGTAAGGCCCTCTGTAACAATAAGGGCCTCTGTAACAGTATATAAGGTCCTCTGTAGCAGTAAGGCCCTCTGTAACAGTATGTAAGGCCATCTGTAACAGTCAGGCCCTCTGTAACAGTATATAAGGCCCTCTAACAGTAAGGCCCTCTGTAACAGTATATAAGGCCCTCTGTAGCAGTAAGGCCATCTGTAACAGTATATAAGGCCATCTGTAACAGTCAGGCCCTCTGTAACAGTATATAAGGCCCTCTAACAGTAAGACCCTCTGTAACAGTATGTAAGGCCATCTGGAACAGTCAGGCCCTCTGTTACAGTATATAAGGCCCTCTGTTACAGAGGGCCTTACCGTTACAGAGGGCCATACTGTTACAGAGGGTCTTACTGTTAGAGGGCCTTATATAATGTTACAGAGGGCCTGATTGTTACAGATGGCCTTACTGCTACAGAGGATCTTATATACTGTTACAGATGGACTTACTGTTACAGAGGGACTTATATGCTGTTACAGAGGGCCTTTCTGTTAGAGGGCCTTATATCCTGTTACAGAGGGCCTGGCTGTTACAGATGGCCTTACTGCTACAGAGAGCCTTATATACTGTTACTGAGGGCCTTACTGTTACAGGGCCTTACTGTTAGAGTGCTTTATATACTGTTACAGAGGCCCTCTGTAAGAGAGGGCCTTATATACTGTTACTGAGGGCCTTACTGTTACAGGGCCTTACTGTTAGAGGGCCTTACATACTGTTACAGAAGGCCTTACTGTTACAATGGGCCTTACTGTTACAGGGGGCCTTATATACTGTTACTGAGGGCCTTACTGTTACAGGGCCTTACTGTTAGAGTGCTTTATATACTGTTACAGATGGACTTACTGTTACAGAGGGACTTATATACTGTTACAGAGGGCTTGACTGTTACAGATGGCCTTACCATTACAGAGGGCCTTATAGACTGTTACAGAGGGCCTAACTGTTACAGAGGGCCTGACTGTTACAGATGGGCTTATATACTGTTACAGAGGCCCTCTGTAACAGCATATAAGTCCCTCTGTAACAGTCTATAAGGCCCTCTAACAGTAAGACCCTCTGTAACAGTATGTAACGCCCTCTGTAACAGTAAGGCCTCTGTAACAGTATATAAGGACATCTGTAACAGTCAGGCCCTCCGTAACAGTATATAAGGCCATCTGTAACAGTAAGGCCCTCAGTAACAGTATATAAGGCCATCTGTAACAATCAGGCCCTCTGTAACATTATGTAAGGCCATCTGTAACAATCAGGCCCTCTGTAACAGTAAGGCCCTCTGAAGTCCAGTTCTGCTATTGATTCTCTTCATACAGGATATGAAAGCTTTTTGCTAATTTCGCAATCATTTTTGTCATCTTTAAAAATCATTTGTCATATTGAAAAAAATCGGTTATTGTTTAAACCTAATTTGTTTCTATCTGTCTTTACAGATACCAGTCAGAAACCCGTTCTGTTTTATTTGTTCCTGTTACTACTCCTTGTACCAGTTGCCATAGCAACTTACATCTGCACAAGGTAAGGATGGGTTTCATAGCTTTAAAGCTAACCTGGCCTGAAGGCTCATGTGAGATTATGTCGAGGTGTGGTGTCAGTCTGTCAACTTTTCCCTTTAAAATGCTATCAACTATCGCAACTAAAAGACTAGATGGATTTTGAATAAATCTGGTCAGGAGCATCCTTGGGCCAAAAGGTTTCAATTTTGCTTTAAAGGAAGATGTTTTGTCTAGGGTTATGGTACTTTGTTAATAGTATGCTTGAGTGGAGGGCTATCAACTTTGTTTACGGTCACAGCGGTCAAATGTGTCAGAAACTTAAAAAAAAATCAATCATGAAGAACCTAGTGGGTCATGGTATTTGGTCTGGCATAATAGAATAATGGGCTATCGTATTTGTTAAAATGAATGACCTTGGGTTACTTTCAAGGTCACAGGGGTCAAATGTCAAAACATTTAAATAGCATCTTCGGTATAACCAAGAGAGCTAAGGTCATGTTTTTTGGTCAGTAACACACTGGGATCACAAGTTGTGACAAGATATTTGAAAAATCGAAATATCCACTATCTTAAATGATAGTTTTGTTTATACAGAAAGAGAAAGAAACATCGAAAGAGGGACAGAGATTCAGAGTTAACAACTTCTCAAAGATTTCTGAGGAAGCATTTTCACCAAGATACTAGAAAAGGAAGAAGAATACAGATTGAGGTATAAATTATGTTGATGAGTTTGAAATACATTTAGCATATTTACACATAATTGGCATTTTAAAAGTTATTCAGTGCCAGTATAATCTTGAATCTGGCTCATTAACTCTAGGCTTACTTAAGGATGTATCACACTATGCTGCTTTATTTTGAAGCTCTTCCAAACGAGTTCCACACATATCGAGGTGTGTAATATCTTTTATGGACAATACATTTGGACTTGGTTAATTATACATATAAGTAACCTGTGACATATTCGAAGGTTTTAAGCCTTGGTAACATCAGTTTGTTAATGTGTTTCCAGGTAATAGTTATTGGCTGGATTGCAATGCAATTGCGGCTTATAAGATTGGCAATTCCCGTCAGTTCGTCCGTCTGTCCAAGTTATTGATTATTCCACATCAACTTAACTTGCATGGCTTATGTATCTAAGGATGCTTATCACATGTGATGCTTTGGATGCTGCTTTTTACCTACATTTTCCGCTTGACTGACCAGGTTAAAAAGATTGGTTGAGGTCAGGCCCCATCTGCACAAAGGTGAATAAGATTGGTTTAGGTCACTTACCAAGTAACTACTTGTCCTACATCAACTAAACTTGCATGGCTTATGTATCTAAGGATGTTTATCACATGGAATGCTTCGAATGATGGTTCTGACCTATATTTTCCGCTTCAGTGACCCGATTAAGAAGATTGGTTTAGGTCAGTTATCAAGTAACTACTTGATGTACATCAACTAAACTTGCTTGACTTATGTATCTAAGGATGCTTATCACATGCGATGCTTCGGATGCTGATTCTGACCTACAAATGTACATTTTCTGCTTGACTGACCAGGTTGAGAAGTTTGGTTGAGGTCAGGCCCCGTCTGCTCTATGGTTAAGAAGATTGGTTTAGGTCAATTGCTAGCACTAAGTAACGACTTGTGTTACATCAACTAAACTTGCATGGCTTAAGTAATGCTTATCACTTTTGATGCTTTACATGAAAATGTACTGTAGCAATCTGCCCATATCACCATTGGCGATTTCTTGTTTTTGTTATCCTTGCGACAAGTTGTTGATATATAGGAATCAGTTGTTTTCGTATGTATGTCGTCGTCGATGATGTCATTGCTCTACAGACTTCATGTCTTATCTGATTGGTATTGATAACATCAAGATTATAATAATTTTTTGATACGCCTGTCAAATTTGACGGGAGTATTATGCTATGGGTCCGCCTGTCCGGCGTAAACTTTTGTTTGTCCGGCAATCTCCTCCTACATTTTTTGACCGATCTTTTTGAAACTTGATATACATTACAATCATGATATGAAGTTGTGTTTCCCGTAAAAGAATTTTGATTCAACAATTTTTGCAAAAGTTATTGCCCTTTGTTTATTTGTGTATTTGATTTTTGTCCGGCAATCTCCTCCTACATTTTTCGACGGATCTCTTTGAAACTTGGTATACATTATTATTATGATATGAAGTTGTGTCCCTCCTAACAAGTTATTCGGGCCAGGTGAGCTTATGGCATGGTGCGGCGTCCGGCGTCCAGCGTCCGGCCGGCGTCAACTTTTTACTTTAAACAACTTCTTCTCAGTAACCAAAAGGGCTAGGGTAATGATATTTGGCCAGAAGCATGCTGGGATGAAGGGCTACCAAGTTTGTTCAAATAAATGACCTTGGTTTATATTCAAGGTCACTGGGGTCAAATATGTTTAAAACATTTGAACGACTTCCCCTAAATAACTGAGAGGCCTAGGGTGATGATATTTGGCCGGTAACATGCTGAGATGAAGGGCTACCAAGTTTGTTCAAATGAATGACCTTTGCCAATTTTTTCTGAATTAATTTAAACTTTAAGTCAAGACGCTGATATTTTGACTGTAGCTTTATTTGAGTCCTCTTTTAAGGTTACAATTGTGAGATTAATACCAGGTGAGCGATGCAGGCCCATTGGGCCTCTTGTTTATAGTATGTCAGCTAACCACTCTTATAGTGATGCAGATCTTGTTTCAATGTAAGAAAGTATATAAAACTATATGGCATTCGACGGGCGTATATTGTTTCACCCCACGGTTTATCCCTGCGACAAGTCGTTGAAAGGTATAAATGGATTTGTTGTTAAGTACAGTTGAACCTCCCCAGTATCTCAAACTCTTTTAACTTGAAGACCCTGTTTATCTCGAAGTGTTTCTACGGTCCAGGCCAAATCTCTTCTTTGCCTTAGTAAATAAAACTCTGATAATTCGAACCCTGAAAAGTCGAAAAACTCGGATACTTCGAAGTAAGATATTGATTTCAATTCTACTTCCTAGTGTTTGAATTTCATTTTGTCACTTATTATTTTTTTTATACAAATAAAACGCAAAAGTACGACATCTCGCCATTCCCTGTTGGTAAACATCTTTCGTGAGTAGACTAGCATGAAATCGGTAAAAAGTTTTCCCTTAAAGCTACAGACTGTAAAGTGTGTGGACTGTCAAAACCATGTTGTTCATAATAAAAAACAAACTTTTTATGATGATGATCAACAGTATTCTGTACTTGCTGCAAGTCCGTTTTACAGGAGCCAGTATGGCTTTGAAAGTCGATCAAGAGATTTAAGAACAATCCAACAATTGCTGTTGATTACATCGAGTTGAGGAGGTGTCAGGTGTCACATTTGGCTTTAATAAATCAATGTGTTACATGTACGATATAATCTGTTTGTGTGTGTTTTCAGTTAAAGAATTGCTATGCGTACGCTCCATTACAGTGATTTGTTTTAGACTTGCACACTTTCATTTCAGCATGGTATAGTACGAGGACGGAGACAGCGGGATAGTTCGATTTTTAAATGTAACACTTCAGAAGTAAAAAAATTAATCACTAGTCCCATCCATATGCAATAACGAATTCACAACATGGTCCAACCGTTTTGATCGCGTTAAACGAAAGTATGTTTTTCAGAAATAACTTACTCTATTTTTGTAAGCGTGTTTATTGTAAAATTACATACCTGTATTTGTTATATTGATTACATATATCATTCATCGATTGATTACAAGCATTGGCTATTAATAAATTCAACAACTGCTAGTGCTATGTCCAAACAGCAAATTTCATACCTAATTTATGAACCCGCATAACTCGAATACTCGGATAACTCGAATTTTTTCCACGACCCCGTCGACATCGAGATAACGAGGTTCGACTGTCTTATCCAAATGATAGAAAACTTCTTGTTTGTATTTATAAACAGCATATCTTGTGATTTTTTTTCTGTATCTTTGCAACCTTGGCTAATGTTGACAAACACAATGCATATAAGTTGAATGACCAGGCTAAAGATGAAATAAAGGCTTGTTACACAGAACCAAAGGTTAAACAAAACCCAGGATAAGTCACAGAATGTAGGGGACATTGTGCAAACACTAACAATATGTCTGAAAAGCAAGAGTTTTTGACATCTTTCACCTTTTATGGACTTTTTATGCCCCCCCACCATAAAACTGGGGGAGGGGGGGGTTCATATAGTGTTGCCCATATCCATCCTGTCCCATCCTATCCCTACATATTGTGTTGCGATTCAATGTAAGCACTCTAGCAACTTCATTCTTTGACAGATTTTGATCAAACTTTATACAAACGTCAAGTGTGAGAATACCTCATACATCTCTGTGTTTTAGGGCTCCAAGGTCAAGGCCAAGGTCACTTGCTGTATATGCAAAATCATCAACTGATTCAATCTCCTCACTCTAGCTACCTCATTTCCTAACAGATATTCATCACAGTTAATACAGATTTCAGATATAAGAATATGGATGGGTTCATGTTGTAAGCTCTGAGGTCAAGGCCAAGGTCAAGGCCAAGGTCAAGGTCACCATTGCTATTTACAGAAAATCATCAACCAATTCAGTGACATCAGTCTACCAACTTTATTTCCAGATGGATGTTGATCAAAATTTATACAAAGGTCAGGTATGATAATACCTCGGACATCTTTGTGTTTCAGGGTTCGAAGGTCAAGGCAGAGGTCACTGTTGCTATATATAGAAAGTTATCAAACGATTCAGTGTCATCACTCTAGCTACTTCATTTCTTAACAGATTTCGAACAAACTTTATATGGATTTCAGGTATGAGAATACCTCAGATAAGTTCATGTTTTAAAGGTCAATGCATGTTGCTATTCATAGAAAAAATTTCTCTGCATTTCTCCATTTATCAACTTGAAGTATGATAATACTTTGAATGCGTACATATTTCAGGGTGTCAAGATCAAAGTCGTTTAAACCATTTATAGAAAATTATCAAACACTGAAACTAATTTCACATGGTAGCTCAAGCATTCATGTCTTACAGACATTGTTTAGTTTTTAACAAAAAAGGATAAAATGTTTAGGATAGGAATAACATATTAATAGGCCCTTGTTAGGTGGTGTTGACACCACATCCGCATTGACTTCAGACTTAATTTGGTGCTCATGTTTATCCTATAACGCTTTGAGTTCTGAATTTGTTCTTGTGTATCAATACTTTGGTTTATAGTTTGCAGACCTAGGTATGTGTGTACCCGTTTGGTGTATTTAGTGTAAATTTGGGAGCCTAAAACGCAGTACGATTTGGTGATAAAAGTATGCATTGCTTATTGAATGCTAAATATGTTCTTTTTTGTCAAATTTGTTAAAAGGTTTTGTTGTTATTTGATGATGCTGTAATTTATTTTATTTTCAATTTCACTTGATATATCCAGGCCCTGATAATAAACTGTCAATCATTGTAAGCTTAACATTTTACATACAATATAGGTGTCGCCACCTTCAGATGACGATAATGATCATCGTCGGCGATCTTATGGCAGGAGACGTGCTCATACAAATCCCTCTGGTGATTACGATCTTATTACAAATCGGGATCACGACATCCATGTTTATAGAGGTTTGTTTGAGGCTCCCTGTACCTAAAACTGTAACCATGCAATGGAAATCAACATGACGATAGATTTAATCAAAGAAACTAATACTTTTGGAATTTCGTTTTATGAATAAGTAAAAACGATAAAATAAACCAACAAAAACAAACAACATATTTTATATAAATAATCTGTGCTTAGTAAGATTTCATCTTGAAAAGTGATTGCATATTTGTCTCATTACAGTAAATCACTTAATTTCGAGAATGACAGAAATCCCAGAAATTTACATTAGACAGTCCAAAAATGATAAGGAAAAATCCTCAAATTTGAGTTCATTATAATGCAGGGAAAGCTGAAATTTCTGTTCTATGTTTTTCAGTAATGAAGAATGCAAAGAATTGTCATCGTTGTAGCGAAGTATCTTCTGGATCGGTGTTCCTGAACGTAAGTGTTTCTATACTGTAAACTAGAATATACATGCCCTTGCACGATGGGAAGGATTGCAAGGTGCAGGTTATGATTTATCTTACCCTGAAAAGTTGTTTCAACTCTTTTCCTGGTGTGAGATTAATAAAATCTATTACCTGTAACTGAGCGAGATGGGATTATCTCCGCTGAGGGCTAATGTTCTGTTATATTATTCCAACTGAGGCGTAAGCCAAGTTTGGAAATTACAGAATCTTAGCCTAAGACTGAGATAACCCTATCTCGCTCATTTACAGGCTATTGATATTTTTTCTCTCATTTCCTTGTGTGTATGATAGAGCTGTCCAGGGTAAGAAAGGGGTGTGAGAAATTTCTACCTTACACCTCGTTTCATGTGACGTCGCGTCACAATTGCTCAACAATGACGTAGGTTTTTTGTGCAAATTATTTGAATTTGTAATCATGAGATGATGCTATTTAAATACTGTTTGTAATAGGTATTATCTATTGGGGAGTTTGATGACCAACCAAACACGGCCTAGGATATTGTCCTATTTTGTAATTACTAAAGCAATGCAAAAGTGATGAATATATACAAACAATGGTACCATATAAAATTTATATATTGCATGAGAATGGTCAATGCGAAATTTTCCCCAACATGAAAGTAACATTGATGAGAAATTTTCCATGTCTTGGATAGTTCAAAGTCAAATTACAAAATTTGCAAAAAGTATTTATTTTCTACTCCTACAATATTGATATGGGGTAGTCGGGTGGTGCAGTGGATAGAACACTCGCCCTTTACCAAGATTGATAGACATGAAAAGGTAAAGGGTCACTTACCTGACCACATGGTACTTCTCCAGGTACTTCGGTATACCCTCTTAGGAGCCTCTCGCACGCTACCATATGGGCCAACAAGGGTGTTTATGTAAGTTGATAGCATTTGTATCATAACTGCTGTAAAATGGATAATTTTTAATTTTACAACATCAACAATGTTATTACGCCAAGTTATCCCATTTTGATTTGTAAGGATTCATCTCGTGGTACACCTTCGAACATGTGTCCCCAATCCCAGCGAAGATCAAGTCGGCCTAGCAGCATAAATGGTGGTCATTTGCTGATGGTCCCTGCCTGTGGCCCCGGGGGGTCAAGCCGCTGTGCCTCCTACCTCACTCTTCACGGTGCCCAGGAGCCAGACCCTCAGGATATCGACATGCCACGGACCCAACGTCGCCGCCAGGCACGTTCCTCGTGTAGTGAACGAGAATGTCATCACAGAGGACCCGCCCCCACTGCTAGTGAGTGCAGGAGTACCAGAAGCAATTATGTTTTTTATCAAACCTGCTCATGCAACCACCTCTATAAAAGACCAGCTGTGTTAAGAGACAACTTTCAATGTTCCCAATCACTGTGATTTCTTTGTGATTTGAACCTGTAGTAAGATACCAGCTGTGTTAAAAGTTAAGAACTTGCACATTTAATAGCTATAGATGATGTGTCTTTCAGGATCTTTTGTCAAGGTACAGTGATAAAGATAACGGGTGATTGTATTTCAACTCATTTGTTTTGACATGTTAAATAGAAATGGGAAGATCTATACTTGAAGTGTTTGTTAAAGAAAACTCAAAGTTTCAGAGAAAGTTTAATGGGCTTTTAATGTTCTGTTTGTGGTACTCTTTATCTTTTATTTGTAGGAATCTCACAACTGTACTTACAATCCCAGAGGCCAAGCTACCACCAGTCTTTGCCCCACCCTCAGCTGATGGAGGACAGACACAGCCAATCCCCCATGTATAATGACTATGGAAGATACGTCACAAGTCCGACTATACAAAGAGGCAGACCAGAAAAAATTGCCAAAAGTCTGCCGTTCTTATATGATTTTGCTCTCGATGGAAAGTCCTACCCTCAGCATGATCCATCAAATCGTAAAGAATCTTGGCAAAGTGCCAGAGGATTTGGACATTCTCAGTCGTACGGAAATGAAATAACAAATAAAAGCTGGTTTCCAAGTGAATCTGATATCGCGGAGTTCTGTACGGCACATGAAGACACGCTAATGAATTGTACCGATAACACAGTTTTTGAGCACGGCCCCGATACCTCCGAGGGCATACCATCCAGCCATGGGATCTTCAGCAGCAGTCAAACACCAGTCAATCCAACAGGTAGACATGTCGGGACGCCGCAGACTGTCAAGGTCCAGAATTTCTCCGTAAGTCACGTCTACACGGCCGAGGATACAGGCAGTAAAAAGGCTATGTTGTTTAATAAAAAGAAATCTCATTTGAGCATTGAGTGTGAATCAGAGTCTGTGGTGAATACGGCTCCTCAAGACTGTACTTCCTGTGACAGCTATAACAATTCCTTGCAAAGACAGACGGACTTCACTAACGAAACACAGTCTCTCTTGGTAGACAAGGGAGGTCAGCAGCCACGCCTTGTTGCCGATTATGACAATACCACATTTGAGACATCCATGGTAGAAGTGGCACCTAGACTCAGTCTTCCATTCCAGGAAAATATAGGTGACTTTCAGATCACTGAAAACAAAAGTGTGGCTGCAATGGTAGACCCGAACAATAACCTTGACGGGAAAACCCGTGTACTTCTGAAATCAACATGTAGTGATGTTCTGGTTCTTGAGGAGGGAGAAAGTATGGTTTAATCTTGAGAGGAATGGCCTTGAGTAGGGCGAGTATGACAGAGCCTTGAGTGGCAGTAAATGACACATTGAGAATAGGGCTATCATAGTGTGACCTTGTGGATGTAAAGATTATGGTACGAACCCCATTAACCCCAAGATAATGAATAAAAAAAGTTAAATTGAAGAGGTGAAGAATATGGTGTAACCTTCCAGGTGAATATTGTGTGACCTTGATAAAGTGAAGAGTACATTGTGACCTTGGGGGAAACATAGTGAGACCTTGATGGACAGAGTATGGTGTGACCTTGATGGAGTGAGTATACTGTTACCTAGATGGACAGAGTATGGTGGGACCTTGATGGAGTGAGTATACTGTTACCTAGATGGACAGAGTATGGTGGGACCTTGATGGAGTGAGTATACTGTTACCTTAATGGACAGAGTATGGTGGGACCTTGATGGAGTGAGTATACTGTTACCTAGATGGACAGAGTAGGGTGTGACCTTGATGGAGTGAGTATACTGTTACCTAGATTGGGGGAAAGGATGGTTTTCTTTGAGGGGAGAGTATGGTATGCAGATTTTGATATGACCCCTGAGGAAATTCAGACTAAAGTGTTAACATCGAAGGGTATAATGACCTTGAAGTGGAGAGTATGAGGGACAGATTAGGGTGTTGAGAGGGTGTGACCTTGAGAGACAGATTATGGTGTTGAGAGGGGGAGAGAGTAGGGTGTGACCTTGAGACAGATTATAGTGTTGAGAGGGTGTGACCTTGAGGGACAGATTATGGTGTTGAGCAGGTGTGAACTTGAGAGACAGATTATGGTGTGGAGAGGGTGGGACCTTGAGAGACAGATTATGGTGTTGAGAGGGGGAGAGAGTAGAGTGGGACCTTGAGAGACAGATTATGGTGTGGAGAGGGTGGGACCTTGAGAGACAGATTATGGTGTTGAGAGGGGGAGAGAGTAGAGTGGGACCTTGAGAGACAGATTATGGTGTGGAGAGGG